GCGGTGTTCGGCGGGCTGCTGCAGTATGCCCGGAGCTTGTGGCTGGCGCGGGCCCGCGGGGGCCGGGGCCGGGGACCCGCCTTGGCCGCGGAGCCCTCTGGTTCCCTGCGGGAGCTGGGCGTGTGCTGGCGTCACTCTTCGCCTTCAAGTCTTTCCGGGAGAACTGGCAGCGAGCTTGGGTGCGAGCGCTGAACGAGCAGGCCTGCAGGGACGGGGTGAGTTGGACGGAGCACCTAGGCGGCCTCTTCAGCCTTTCCTTCTAGGGGAGGGTCTGCTCGTGCTAGAGGGCTGGATAGGGATAGGGATCAACTAGAGAACCCCATGGCTTCCCTTCTCCTCCAGGACTAGAAAAAAGGGTGAGGCCCCAGGTGAGGCTGGGGGTTGTAGAAATCCAATTGTGTCCCCAATTCTCTATTTTTGTGTGCAAGGTACTCAGGCTTCAAACCCGCGCACAAGTTGCTGGTTGCCGTTCTCATAGCAACGCTAATCCCTGTGCCTGAGGGCACTTCCGCCTAGCCTGGGTGCTGGTTGTGTTGGGGGGTGGGGGAGACAGGTGCACTTGCAGGAGGAATTTGCCTGGTACTCATGCCACCATACCCAGTAAACATTTTATGTCCCACATCCCTGAGGTAGCCAGAGAGATCCTCATGGAGCCTAAATTACCTCTCTACCCGCCAGTGATTTCACTGCTAGTCACACATCCTCCTCCTCCATGCTGGCATGCAGTGTATTTGTTGAGGGGAAAGTGTTCAGGTGGTCAGATCGACACTCCTGTGCTCTTCCTAGTAAATGAGCTTGGAGCTGCCCCTTGAGGGTCAGTCACAAAACAGCCCAGCCTACTTCCTCTCCACGCTCTATGGGCATCTGGCCTCCCAGGAAGTAGGACAGGAAGCATGGTCATGAGACAGAGGTGGGTGGGAGGTAGAGGTTTCTTTTTTCCGGGGACCCCTCCCATCCTAGCCCAGCAACCTCTCCTTCCTTTACTGTCTGTCAGCTCCTCACTCAGAGGGTTCTGTTTCTAGCCCCACACACTTGGAGGCTTTTCCCTACTAGCTCCCCAGAGGCCTGCAAACAGAAGTGACCGTAAAAAGTTGCTGTTTCCTCTGCCCAGCTGGCCAGCTGGCAAGCCAGATGACATCTGTCAGTTTATGCCTTGAACCACCCCTCCACCCGGCGTTCCCTGCACCTTGTCCCTGGGTCAGAAGCAACTGCCCAGCACAGCTGACTCAGCTGGACATTGGCCATCCTTGCAGGGGGTGGGGAGGTTGAGGTCCTAAGCATCCATTTCTCCATCTCCCTCAGCCTTGCCTTCAAACAAGACAGCAGCTGGAGCAGAGAAGTTGGCTTCCCCTGGTTTGCCAGGCAAATGAGCCCTGCATATTTGTTTCTTCCATCCCAAGGATGGCCCAAGGAAGAGTTGCCAGCCCCACCTCTAGCCCCTGCTCCGTTCTTCTTCCCATCTTGCTCCCCAGATGGGGCTGCAGTAGGGAGCTTCCACTGCTGTAGAAGGGCAGCTCTTAGAAGACCTGAGCTAAGCAGCTTTCTGCTTCCTAATACCATCTTGCTGTCTGCCTCAAGGAATTAGTCAGACCCCTGGACCCTTGAGCCCTCTGAACTTGCTTCTCTCGCCAGTCCCTTTTGTTAAAGTCCCCCAAGGCCACGCTGAGCCTGCGTTCATCTCCAAGAATATGGTAGCACCATACTCCTGAGCCTCCACATCCTATCTGGAAGGTTTAGCCATCTCTTTCTTGCCCTACTGCTTTTAACATGAGCTCAGCCCTGTCCTTCTCTGCCCAGCTAGTGTACATAAGTGCCGACCAACATCTTAATTTTTTTTTTCTTCTCTGTATGCCTTTCTTTGGGGCAGGGTGGGGAAGAGAAAGGTTGGGGGAAGAGAAAGGTTGGGGGTTCTTGGTATTCCAGAAAGAACCCAGGGTCTTCAGCTCAAGGTGATCTAGTCTCTGGGGGGGAGAGCTGGCTTCGCAATCCTCAGTGGCCCCTAGCAGCTGTAGGCCTCTGGAGAGGCGTGGTCTGAGGGGGAACACCTCCCATCATAAAGCCCTGAGCCAAGGAGGGGCCAGAAGCCAGCCTGCAGCTGAGGCTTCCGCAGTGCCAGGGCCCAGCCAGCCACTGAGCAAGCCAGCCCTGCGGGGGGCAGCTCCAGAGACCTGATCCTGTGCCTGTATTACTTCCTCAGAGCTCCATCCAAATCGCCTTTGAAGAGGTGCCCCAACTCCCACCCAAAGCCAACATTAGTCATGTGACCTGCATAGACCAATCAGAGCGCACCATGGTAAGGACCCTATGGGCACTGTTCTCTTTGGGGCCTACAGGGGGCTAAGCCCAAGGGTTCCCTTTAGTCTGGGTATTCTTAACCTGGTGTCTGTGAATGCCTAAGGGCTCTCAGGACTGGTCCAGGAGGTCTGAGAATCCCACTGAAGATAAGTCCAAAATGTTGTATGTGTGTGTATATTTGTGGAAAGAAGCCTGGCTCATATCTGGTTCTCTAGGAGTTTATGACCCCCAAAAGGTGTAGCCCCAAGGAAAACAGAAGTGGAGTGAGGGCTTCTGAACCACTGCAGGGCAGGGGAAGCAAGGGAGTGCCCTTCCTTCATCCCGACTCTGCCTGGCCTGTCTCAGGTGCTGCACTGCCAGCTCTCTGCTGAGGAGGTGCGGTTCCCAGTCTCGGTGACCCAGCAGTCCCCCGCTGCCGTCTCCATGGAGACCTACCACGTCACTCTGACACTGCCACCAACACAGGTGGAGGGGGATGTGGGAACCCAGTTGGGCAGGGGGTGGTACCTCTCTGGGATGGAATTCGGGAAGGAAGCGCCCAGAAGAATTGGGAGTCGTTGGAGGAGTGAGACAAGTTGACCCCCTTGTCCCTGTCCTGTACTCAGTTGGAAGTGAACCTGGAGGAAATACCCGGCGAGGGGCTGCTCATATCGTGGGCCTTCTCGGATCGCCCAAATCTCAGCCTGACGGTGCTTCCCAAATTGCAGGCCAGGGAGGTAAGGATGCACAGCCCAGCAGCAGAGGAGAAGCAGAGCCATGGAGGGGACAGAGCTGGGGGCTCCTCCTTTTGTTCTCCTCCTCTCCTCCCTGCAGAGAGGTGAGGAGCAAGTAGAGCTCTCCAGGATTGAGGAGCTGATCCAGGATGCCATAGTCAGCACTCAGCCAGCTATGATGGTCAACCTCCGGGCTTGCTCTGCCCTGGGAAGCCCAGTGAGTAGGCACCCAGAGCAAAATGTTTGCATGCACACTGGCCCCAGGACACTATGTCAGGATTCTTGCTCCTCTGACCTCCTTCTGCTCTTAGGTACCCAGTGAGAAGCCACCCATGGTGTCCCAGGCCCAGCCAGCCCTCCTCAGACCTACCCGGTTATTCCTGCGGCAGCTCCGAGCATCTCACTTGGGAAACGAGCTGGGAGGTGAGAGCTAGGTGGAGCAGGGGACTGCCGAGGCCGTGTGTGCAGGCACTATGCCCCTCTGCTGAGGCTGCAGCCTCTGCTCCTCAGTGGCATCCCATCTTTGATCTGAGCACCCCCCAACTTCTGGTCCTCACAGGCACTGAGGAACTGTGCTGTGTAGCTGAGCTTGACAACCCAATGCAACAGAAGTGGACCAAGCCCGCCAGGGCTGGTCCTGAGGTGGAGTGGACAGAGGACCTGGCACTGTAAGGACTGATCCTGAGCCCACCCCCTGCTCCTGAGTGCAGCCTGAGTAGACCCTCCCACCATAGCCTGGACACGAAGGGGGTCTGTTTTCAGTAGCCCTGGGTGTGAGCCCCTACTGTGTGCCAGTCCCGCCTAGGTCCTAGGAATACAGACTACAGACGTGCCCAAGATAGGACCCCTTCCCCTGGGGGGATCACAGACTTGAGACAGATGGAGGTGCATCAAGAACATGGTACAAGAGTGCTCCAGTTGAGGCTTACACACGTGCCAGGGGAGCGCTTAGGTGGGGGGGGAGTCATTCCCACAGGGGATTAAGGATCAGAGTAGGCTTCGTGGAGGGGGTGGCATTTAAATCGCACCGTAGAACGAGAGTAGGATTTTACCAGTGTGTGAAAGTATTCTTGGCAGAGGGAACAGCTTGAGCAAATGATGAAAGAAGGAGGTTTGAGAATGAGAGAGAGACTGCTAAGACAGGGTGGAGCAGAGCCAGGGAGGATATGAATGCCCGCTGGGAGTGTGGTCTCTACTTGGGCCCAATCCTACTCTCCTGGGAAGACTGGGTGTCTGAAGGGCAGGACAAAGCTGGCTGGGGGACTCGTGCCACTTCTGTGTACATCTCTGCCTCTGGCCTGTGATCACTTCAGGGTGGATTTGGTTTACTGATCTTCCTCCTCCCTGCCCTGCTTACTCTTGGCCACAGGGATCTGGGCCCCCAGAGCCGGGAACTGACCCTCAAAGTGCTCAGGAGCAGCAGCTGTGGAGATGGTGAGTGTGGGGGTGGTGTGTCACCTTTGGGGGGTGTGGTCATGGGTCCAGCTCATAGTGCCTCTCCCTTCCCTTCCCTAGCTCTGCTCCTAGGTCAGGCCACACTGCCCGTGGGCACCCCATCCAGGCCACTGTCTCGAAGACAGGTGTGCCCACTCACCCCAGGGCCAGGGAAAGCCCTGGGACCAGCAGCCACCATGGCAGTGGAGGTAAGAAGCTGATTCCTGGGAGGAGACAGGAAGACGAAGGGTGGACGCTCTCTGAGGCCTAGCCTCTTGCTCTCCCACCTCTTGGCAGCTGCAGTATGAGGAGGGCTCCCCCCGGAACCTGGGCACTCCCACTCCCTCCACGCCACGGCCCAGCATCACACCTACCAAGAAGATTGAACTGGACCGGACCATCATGCCTGATGGCACCATTGTCACCACTGTCACCACCGTGCAGTCCCGGCCCCGTGTAGATGGCAAATTAGGTAAAGAGGAAGAGCCTGGGAGCCCAGCTCTAGCCAGGGGCCCTGGACTGCAGACCCATGGCAGGGCAGGGAAAGGGGAGGAGAGCGATGATTCAAACTCATCCCGCTCTCTCCCACTCCACCCTGACCCTACCACATCTTCCTTGTGACCTGTCTCTAGAACTCCCCCCATCACCCCTACTTCTGCCATTGCTTCTGTCTTCAATCCCTCTCAGTCCACCAGCCCCCCATGCAGGACTCTGGTACCTCCCCCTGCTTAGGTTCCCTTCTCTTTTCACAGCTCTCTCCTTCCGTCTCCACCCACCCTCCAGCAGCCCCTGTGGCCCTCCGCCAGTCCCAGGGGCCTCCGTGGTACTTCTCCCCCCACAGTGGCTCTCCATTCACCTCTCCCAACTCCGGCCCTCTGGGTTGTCCCCATTCTGCACACTGTCCCGGTTGGTTCTCAGGGCATCTCCCCATGGCCACTGTCCAACACTCCTGTTGGTTCCTGTGCTGCCTTTTGTCCCCACGATATCTTAATCACCCTTGCGATCAGTCACCCCTTCCTTCATCATCCCTGCCCTCTGAATCAACCAGGGTCTGCATCTCTGTAAAGACAGTAGGGAGTGGGGGTCACGCTACAGCACCTCCCAGCTCACTGACCCTCCCCCACCCACCAGACTCCCCCTCCCGCTCCCCGTCCAAGGTGGAGGTGACTGAGAAGACGACAACTGTGTTGAGCGAGAGCAGTGGCCCCAGCAGCGCCTCCCACAGCAGCAGCCGTGAGTGGGGACCCGGGACGCGTGGGTGGTGACTGCCCCTGGTGCCCCAGAGTCGAAACCCGGGGTAGGGCAGGAAGAATTGGGGGTGGGGCGCAGGGATAAGTCCAGTTAGCCATCCTCTGTACCCCAGCAGGGGAGAGTCACCTCTCCAACGGCTTGGACCCGGTGGCAGAAACAGCGATTCGCCAGCTGACTGAGCCCAGCGGGCGGGCAGCCAAGAAGACGCCCACCAAGCGCAGCACGCTCATCATCTCTGGGGTTTCCAAGGTAACGGGGTTCTGGGGGAGGAGCCAGGATGGGGAGACAGCCCTGAGGGTTCCTCCTGCCCGTTACAGCTTGTCCCTCCTGCCAGGTGCCCATTGCTCAGGACGAGTTGGCACTGTCCCTGGGCTATGCGGCGTCCCTGGAAGCCTCAATGCAGGACGATGCAGGGACCAGTGGAGGGCCCTCTTCACCTCCCTCAGACCCACCAGCCATGTCACCAGGACCCCTCGATGCCCTCTCCAGTCCCACGAGTGTCCAGGAAGCAGATGAGACGACGCGTTCAGACATTTCTGAGAGGCCGTCTGTGGATGACGTTGAGTCAGAAACAGGCTCTACTGGTGCCCTGGAGACCCGGAGCCTCAAGGATCACAAAGGTGGGAGATATCGTCAGAAACCGGCTCCCGCCATGCCTCCTTTATACCCAGTGTCATGACCTGGGGCCTCGTGGACCCCTGGGGACATGGAAGCCTCACACCAGCCAGCCCTTTCCTTCCGAGGAGATGGCCGGACCTGGGGCCTCGTGGACCCCTGGGGACACAGAAGCCTCACTCCAGCCAGCCCTTTCCTTCCGAGGAGATGGC